GGTGAGGTTTTTTGTAGAGAGAAATTCTTGGTGTAAATTCTCTATAATTCTATTCTTGTGAAAAAGAGTTGTTTTTCCTCCCAAATAATCTTCATATTGATCCGAGAATCACAACAGAAGCTTGGACAAACCAAAATCAGCAACTTTTGCGTTTAGGCGTTCATCCAGCAAGATGTTGTTGGACTTGATGTCTCTGTGTATGATAGGAGGGTTGACAAGGTCGTGAAGATACTGCAAACCTCGGGCTGCTCCGAGGGCTATCTTCAGTCTCCTCATCCAATCTAACCTGATCCCAGTCTTGCCTACAAGTATAAATTTCATCACATTTTCCAGAGGCACATTTCCCTTTGGTAAAGTTAGAAGAAGCTAGTTTCAAAGAATCAATAAGAAGGAAAAGTCTAAGGTGCTAGTCGATGAACATGTTTCTGATTTTACCTAAACATAGTCTAATGTTCTCTAAATAGAACTTAACAGGAAGCAAAGTGGTTGGAGATTTTACGGAGTTTCATGCCCAAATTACATGTTCCATATCTCAGTGAAAATGGTTCAGTACTTCCACTCCTATTTAAGAAATTGGTTTNCAATCCAGAGAGATTGAAATACAATCCAGGAAGAGATTGTGAGAACAAAAAGAGAGTTTGGTGAGGTTTTTTGTAGAGAGAAATTCTTGGTGTAAATTCTCTATAATTCTATTCTTGTGAAAAAGAGTTGTTTTTCCTCCCAAATAATCTTCATATTGATCCGAGAATCACAACAGAAGCTTGGACAAACCAAAATCAGCAACTTTTGCGTTTAGGCGTTCATCCAGCAAGATGTTGTTGGACTTGATGTCTCTGTGTATGATAGGAGGGTTGACAAGGTCGTGAAGATACTGCAAACCTCGGGCTGCTCCGAGGGCTATCTTCAGTCTCCTCATCCAATCTAACCTGATCCCAGTCTTGCCTACAAGTATAAATTTCATCACATTTTCCAGAGGCACATTTCCCTTTGGTAAAGTTAGAAGAAGCTAGTTTCAAAGAATCAATAAGAAGGAAAAGTCTAAGGTGCTAGTCGATGAACATGTTTCTGATTTTACCTAAACATAGTCTAATGTTCTCTAAATAGAACTTAACAGGAAGCAAAGTGGTTGGAGATTTTACGGAGTTTCATGCCCAAATTACATGTTCCATATCTCAGTGAAAATGGTTCAGTACTTCCACTCCTATTTAAGAAATTGGTTTCTTTTTTAATGACTACTTTGCAACAACTAATCATAAATAAATTCTTGGACTTCCGAGAATGTAGGATAGCTAATTCAGCAAGTACCTCTCTATAGTCTTCTCATAATAATGGTGAAAGAGAATGGTAGGGACCAAAATATACCTGAAAGACCATCTTTTAAGGTGCCACTAGGAATATACTCATACACCAGCATCTGTTCAGCTTGATCAAAACAGAAGCCAACAAGGCCAACGACATTCTTGTGATGAACCCTTGAGAGAAGTTCTATCTCAGTTTTGAACTCAAGTGCACCCTGCATAGACCCTTGTAGAGCTCTTTTAACTGCAACCAGGTGTCCATTTGGAAGAGTTCCTCTGTAAACCTGCAGGATGTAACTTCCACACTTATAACTTAATTCAGTTTAAATTGTTGCCAACACCTTCTTACTGAAATGGTAGACTATGCCTTAAGAAATATCATTCAGTATTCTTTTTACGGTGGTGTTGGTTGGGGATGGGGGTTGGGAGAGGGTGCACCTAGTCAATGAAAGCTAACCTTGCCATAACCACCAGATCCAATATCATTAGTTTCTGAAAAATTGTTTGTCATTTTTTTTGAGCTCCTCAAATGAGAAGAATCTTGCTCCTGTCAACTGTGGAACAGCACCACTATGTTTATTTGAGTCCCAGGATGCTGCATTAAAGAGAAGGATAGCAAGAACCACCGTAAGATGAAGCAATAGGTAAAAGGAAACCTTGTACAACATGGGAAATCATATAGGTAATACTACACAACAAGTCAAGTCCGGTAAAAGACAATTAGAAGGTGCAAGTAAGTCAGCTAAAGCAAGTAGCAGTGAATCATGAAAATATGAAAGGATCTAACATTATTAACAGAAGAAAATATTGATTAACAGGTAGCAAATAAGCATGGAAAGCATTTAGAGCATATAACATTTAAGACAACGAAGGAAATAATTAAGGAAAAGAGGAAAAAAATTAGGGAAAACAGGTAATTCGGCGGCGTATAAGCACTCGTCACCTTGCATATACGCCACAACAAATGAAATTCACATAACATATAGTCTGAGGGTTCCTAGTTCCCTCAAGTCAAGGTTAGACTCAACACTTACTTCACTCTGCAGTCAATTCAGAGCTCTACCGGGGCTTTTCCCCAAGAATACGCCTCCATACCACTCGTATCTAGCCACAATTGACTCAATAATATCAAATATTGCTAAAGGAATCAATTACAATGCATAAATTTAGAATTTCCAAACTTCCCCCAAAAAGTCAAAAATCGATCCTGGACCCGCTTAGTCAAAACGCGAAATTCAAATCAAAATCGATTACCCATTCACCCCCGAGCTCGGTTATGTAATTTGTTTTGTAATCCAACCTCAATTTGAGGTCTAAATTCCAATTTTACAAAAATTCCTAATTCTACCCAAACCCTCAATTTTTACTATGAAATCCTAGATTTTAGGTGGAAATCTTATGAAGTATAATGGGTAATTGAAAGAAAGTAGGCTAGAATCATTTATCAACAAATTAGGAAGAAAAACTCTTGGAAAAGTCGCCTTTATGGTTTTCTAGTTTCGAAATTTTGAAAGAATGAGCAAAATTCCGTAATTGGTATGTTTTAATCATTGGGCGTCAGGCCTTCTTCGCGTTCGCGAAGGGACTACCGCAATCGCGAAGCAGCGGCTCAAATAGCCTATGTGTTCGCGAGATACCCTTCGCGTTCACGAAGGCTTATACCCACCAGCCTTATTCCGCGTTCACGAAGAGTATTGATCAGATTCCCCTCCCTCAGGTCCCATGCCTACGCGTTCGCGAGAGGCTGGCCGTGCTCGCGAAGGGTAATGCCCCCATTGCTCTCCGTTCTTTCGCGTTCGTGAAGAAGAAACTCCCTTCCAGCCCAATTCACTCTTCGCGTTCGCAAGAGTACCTTCGCTAATGCGAAGAAGGAACACCAGAAACCAGCTGAAGCACAAAAATTAGATTTCCCAAGTTTCAAAATATCCGTAGCCTATCCGAAATTCACCCGAGCCTTCGGGGCTCCAACCAATTATACACACAAGTCCAAAAACCTCATACAAACTCGTTTGCGTGATCAAAACACCAAAATAATGCCTAGAACTACGAATCAGACACCAAATCAAATGAAATTTTCAAGAAAACTTTTAAACTTTTATTTTAATAACCAGACGTCCGAATCACGTCAAACTAATTTCGTTTCTCACCAAATTTGACAGACAAGTTATAATTATAGTAATTGACCTATACCGGGCTCCGAAACTAAAATATGGACCCGGTATCTACAAAATCAAATATCAGTCAATTCTTAAAAATCAATAAACCTTTAAACTTTTAATTTTCGACAAAAATCAGTAACTCGAGCTAGGAACCTTCGAATTCGATTCCGGGTTTACACCCAGGTCCCAAATCACGATAGAGACCCACCGGGATCGTCAAAATACGGATCCGGGTTCGTTTGCTTAAAATAGTGACCGAAGTAACTCAAATAGATTTTTGAAGCAAAATTTCATATTTTATCAATTTTCAACATAAAAAGCTTTTCGAAAAAATATTCGGATTGTGCACGCAAATCAAGGAAGGCTTAAAGAAGCTATTGGAGGCTTTGAAATATAGAATTAGGTTCTAAAACTCTAGATGACCTATCGGGTCATCACAGGAGAACCCAAGTACCTAAAAATCTTGTTAGTCATTATGTAGACCATAGTATAAATAAAAAATATTAGGTCATCTTTCGTTCCTTAGACT